AATATGTCCATATATATAACATTTTTTCCTGGGTTATTAATTCTAATAAATTTAGAAAATCAGATTTTTTTTATTTTTTCATGTTTGTTTACAAATTTTCTGAAAAATTAAAAAAAAATTATTTTTTTCCAATGAAATGTTTGAAGTTCTGTTTTTCAAAATTTAATTGCAAGAAAGGTTCTAGATAACATTTATGTTGCATAAGATATTTAAAAGACGTCTTTTAGGGTTTTATGTCTAAAAGACGTCTTTTAGATATCTTGTGCATGTTATCTAGGGAGAAAGAAATTTTTATACAATTACATGTCGGCTATTTTATACTGTTCAAGGTTAAAATAATTACAATGAAGATGCGAATGAGGATAAAAGGTATCTATTCTATTAATTTCGATGTTTCATGAAAAAGCTAAATACTTTTACTAGCTGTTTACTACGATGTACCCTACTGGAGTAAAAAGTGAATCAATCGGTTGTTGGAATTTCGTTGGAATTTTCTACACGCTCGTTACTTCCCAATTGACTCGCACCTTCGCGTGATTAGTTTTAGAGTGCACCAATTATCGCGAGCTTCTTTCGTATTCCGATTGTATTTCCCCAAAATATGAAAAGAATGATAGTCGATTTAAACTTCTATAATGAGAAATATATGCCATATATATCGAAGAGAAGTATTAAGTTAAATACACTTTTAATACTTTTAATTTAAGAACATTATGTAAAGAGAGGGAAAATAAGAGCGATACTTCTATATGTTAAGACAGTGAAATATTAACGTGGTGCATGAATTTTAAATCTTTTCTTTTACTGATGGCACTGTTTTATTATATCATATATGACTAATCGCGTAATGTCCTCTTCCGCTCATTCAAACGCGGCCTATTTCAAGAATCAAATACTAGACAACAGACAGACGGATACGTTAGGTGTTTTCTCGAGACATACACAATGTATCGTCAACTGAACGATTATTACACTGTACGATCGATCGATGAAACAACGGAAGATTTTATACTAATAGATTCAAGTCTAACTAGCACCTCGATTTTTTATCATTAAATGCGGACGTTTGAGATTTTATTTATTTAATACTAGAATTTTATTATTATTCAATTCATTATTAATCACGGACTGCCGATTAGACTGGCTGCATTTAGCATTAAATATGCGGTGTTAATACAGACCGAGATTTTTATTATCTGACGTGAACAAAATATATTGTTTTTCGTAGAAAGTCTATAAAATATTTATATTAAAATCATCTATTATTTTAAAATTTTATTAGAAATGCATCACATATCGGTCAATTTAACTATAATTATTTAAACAATAAAAAGATAAGAAAAAGTATTTAATAATAACTTGTAATATTACTAATACAACAAAAAGGGATGGAACGTTTTGGCTTACTTAGCCATTCTTCAATCATCAGAGAATTAATTCATATAAATGCAAATTTTGTATAACATTAATCACATTTCGAAGCGCTAACATAATGTTCACGAATGTTCACGAGAAATCGAATATTATAGACATACTCATTTTTTTTTAATTTTAACTTTTTCAAAATTAACGAATGTAATTAACGTCTCTCTCTCAAAATGACAATTTAATATTGGGAATCCATATGCAATTGATATCTTAGCTTTGCAACCTATTCTGTATTTTAACATTTGGTTCAACTGTCATTACAATTGGGCAATGAGCCATGGATTTGTACATACATACACTCAGGCTGCTGTAATAAACATAAGAAACATAAGAAAGAAGTTATTGCTTGTAAAAAATGCGATGTGCCTTGTGTAATTTGTGTTTAATATTATTTAATACTATTCCAAGATTTGCGGATTTATGGATTAATTCTTTATGATGGTTGAAAATGGCTAAGTAAACCGAAAGTCCCATTTCTTTTTGTTGTAATATTAAAAGTTATTATGAAGATTATGCGTTTCGCGGATTTCTTCCGTGTCCAAGCACAGTATCAAGCTGCTCCTTGCCCTGATGAAATAGACTGCAAGATTCACGAAACATTCTTGGCATTCCAAGAATTGATCTGAATACGGAGGAAACGCATAATCTATACAGAAAGCAACTGTGGAAACCTCAAGAATATTAAAAGTTATTATTAAATGTATATCTTATTTGCTCGTTCATAGACTTTTTCTTATCTTTTTGTTTAAATAATGCAAAAAACAAGATTTTCTTGCGTGTACATTATTTATGTACACTGAATTACTCCTACGTGCTCTTCGATTAATGTGCTTTAAAATAGCTTTAAAAGATGAATTTTTTAATCTCAAATTCAATAAATAATAATTAAAATCAGCGTAAACCAATCAGCTAAGTCAATTGCACGGTACCAAAATATACGTATATATGACAGAATATAAGAATTTACATTAATAAAGTTGTATACATTTTCGGAACAGCCACTTTCTAATTAACTTCATTATTTCCTTCATAAAAAATTAATATTCTATATATTTATTTTATAAACAAATTGGATCATTCGTGAAAGTATATATCAAATTTGAGATTGTATACTATAGAATTATATATTTTAAGTACGCGAATGATCGATCGGACAGCCATAAACATATTATATCAATTTGCAGAAAAAAAGATAAAAAACCGCGTAAATTTGTATTATGAAATCATTTAGTCAATCATGTATGAATCAACATTTTGTTTTCAAGAATTATTATAGAAAAATCGGTAATATGACTTGATGTTTTAAAGTATTATGTGTGCATGTGATCATTTTGCTGGGAAATTATATAGCTTGAATACGATGTTAAATGATAGAGATGGAGATTTACATACGTAAATGTATGTCTAAAATTATATCACTATTTTATTACTGTTCGGCGATTAAATTCGTATTAAAATTTTTTACTTTTATTCTCTACAAATATATATATATATATATATATATA